CTGGAGAGCAGGTGGGAAAACGTGGAAGCTGTAGCCACGGGATCACTTGATGCACCACAAGAAGCACAGGGTCTTTGGTGATGAAAGCACTAGAATCCTAAGATGCGGATCTCAGACTTCACGGAAAGGGGAGAGTCCTCCCTTGGCAATGAGCTAATGCAGAGGTGAGACCCTCGTTCACGATCTGCAGTTCTCATTAACAGGCGGCCAACGGGGAGAAGGTGGGCTGGGGCCTTCCTTGACCCCATGAAAGGTGGACACAGGCAGGACAGCAGGGCTGGCCCAAGAGCTGGAATTTGACTTTCGCTGTGGACTTTTCCAGGCCACTGAAGACAGGGCCCCAAACAAAAATGTGTGTACGTGTGTGTATGTGAGTGTGCGTGTACATGCCCCAGTGCCCGCCACGGACACTCTCAGGCTCTGAAACGTTTCAAGGGCCAATTGTTTAGTATGAGGTGATGACGCACAGTCAGGAAAGGACCACCGAATACCCAATGGACTTGGGAAAAGATGAGTATTTTCTAACGTAAAGGACACAGGGACACATGAGTGACACTCAGGCGCCCAGTCCACCCGGTGCAGGCCTGACCCTCCTTGTTCAGATGCGGTTCGTCTCCCCAGGAGACCAGTGGCAAAGTTTTCACGAAAGGCACAGTGTGAATTGTGGACGGGCCGGGATGCGCCAGATGGACTGAGGGCCGAGGCCCGGGAAGGAGGGACCACGCGTCAAGCCGCCTTCTGTGGCCCCGAGTTGGACGGGGACCAGGACAGGGACAGACCTCCCCGCAAGAGGCAGCCAGGCTGGGCCAGGGGAGGAACCAGGCTACGAGGAACATGCTGTAAAAAGAAAAGAAAGAAAAAGGCAAGCAGCTGCACGTGGGGATGGATGTCACTTCAGGCTTAGGTTCCGAGGGCCACACCACACACCAGCAGAGCCCCAAGGCGCTGGCGGGCACCCAGGCCTGTGGAGACAAGCAGACCGAAGGGTTTCTCCTGGGAAGGCTCTCCCGAGGCTCTGGCTCCCGGAACCATCTTTAGGAATCTACAACACAAAAGACAGAGAAAGGAAAAGGCTGTTAGAGTGGCTGGCAGCAGGTCAGGGGCGGGCACTCTGCAGCTCAGTGCAAATTGCACCGCCCTGGGGAGGGGGGAAGGGAGGGAGCACATTTAGAGCAATGGGTTACCACAGGGCGAGTCTGAGATAAGGAACTTTCACGGTTTTATCTGCAATCAGAGCAGCTAGTCTTCCCTTCAGGGGTAACAGAAGCCGCCCAGGAGATGATGCACCCATGCACCCGAACTCATCTTTCTCATAAATTGAGTTCTGAGACAGAGACAGAAACCAGCTTCCCAGAATGATGCCTGAAGCCCAAAGGCCTGGTTCTCTCTCCAACTGACACTCTCAGTTCCTTGGCAGTAAAAGGCAACATCTTTGGTGAAAAGGAAAACCTGTCACTCAGCATTTACTCAGCAATAAACAGTGAAAGTTCTTCATCTTGAGGGGACAGAAGAGAAACAGGAGACAGACTCCTCAAGCCCGGAGGTGAACACAGGGTGAGAAACAGAGAAGGTGTCATCATATAAAAGGGGGAAAGGGCAGGAATTTTTTTTTTTTTTTTTTTTTAAAAGCATTTGGCTAGAAAATTCCCCATTATTGAAGACAAAAGAGTTAAATACTCAGATTACAGAGAATAATTTTCTCGGAGAGGGGAAAAATCATTTAAAATACACAACACTGAGAAAAATATAACGTTTATTAGAGAGGCAGATACGAGGGTACAACTAAAAGGAGCCAGACAGATTCTTTTCTTGTAAGATAAGGAGAGAGAGAAACAGTCATGTTGGCCATATTCAAACAGAACTTACTCAGAACCCAAGTGTCTACAATAAACTCAAGTGTGGATCAGCTGGCAGGGGACCTAGCTACCACTGTAACCGTCCTTCCGGCTCCCCCAGCGGTTACAAAAACAAAAAGGTCATTAGGCATCAGAATCACCAATAAAACAAACACAAAGAAGGGTAAAACATTAAAACAACGAATTCAAGTAATCCTTTTAGTTTTTCTATTGCAGTATATACAAATCTATTGGGGCAAGGGGGCGGTTATGGATATATTTCACAGAGAGCAATTTAAAAAAACAAAAACAAAACCATAAAAGAGGACAGTCACCATTCAGTTGACCAGTTGGAACTTACTCTAGTCTAACTATTTTGGCAATTATTAAATAGTCACATGGTAGACACCACACACACACACAAAAGTGCACTGGCATTACTGACAATAAAACAACTCCTTTTGAGTTATGGGCATCGGAAAGCAGCAGCCCCGCCCACCTGGGACGGGCTTAAGGAGAGGGCAGTGTTTATGGAGCAGGCGGAACAGATTTATAAACAAGGCAGGGAAGGAAGGCTTCGACATACGTTATTAACCTCTAAGTGTATCTCTAAACAAAAGGAGAAAACTTTATACACAAGCTGAGACTTTGCTGCTTTTGTTTTAACAGATAACTGTTGGAAGAACACAAAGTATACTTCGGGTGGAAATGGTAATTTGTGATTCTCTGGGAATCAAGACTTTTGCTAATCCTCTGCGCATTGACTAGATGGACCTGAGACTACAAAATGTCTTTCACCGTTGAGTCGCTAGTACATAGATTCATCTGGTGAAGGTACTGAGGCATACAGCCTAAAATAATGGTCATAATTTATGTGCCCAAATCGCCCCTCCCATCCCCGAAAGCCAGCTGAGCTATTTCCTGAATCAGATTTGCACAACTCTAAAGAGGAGGGGGAAAACAAAAGCAACAACACCAGCCAACTTTGTGGAAGGCCATACTTTTCAAGTCAGGCTTTTAAAAGACTAATGTTATCTTGCCTCATTTTAAGACTTTTGCAGTGCTTAGTTTGCTGTCTCCAATAATTCACAGTCTGGAAATGAGTTCATCGCAGGATAGAAAGGTTAGGTTTTAATATCTTAGGGATTCACTTGGTTACCTGCCCAAAGCTGTGACCACCTACTGCCCGTTAAATCCCCACGGTCAGCTGATTTTCTTGCTGCAGTAGTTAAAAGGAAGAACTGAAATGATTCTCCTGAGAGGTCTGGGGTCAGGGTCAGTGGCTTTATCAATATTACGGCAGCAAAGGTATAATAAAGCAAAAGAAATCTGAATTACAAAATTATATTTTAAAAAAATCAGGCTGGCCAGGGTCGGTTTCCCGCTTTTGATATTGGACCACAGTTGTGTCAGATGCCACCACTGGGGGAAGCTGGATGTAGGGGATCTCTCTGCTTTATCTTTGCAACTTCCTGAGAATCTATAATTATTTCAAAATGAAAAATGTTTTAAAAATCAGACAGTCAGTCACGGCTTCCCTGGTGGCGCAGTGGTTGGGAGTCCGCCTGCCGATGCAGGGGACACGGGTTCGTGCCCTGGTCCGGGAAGATCCCACATGCCGCGGAGCGGCTGGGCCCGTGAGCCATGGCCACTGAGCCTGCGCGTCCGGAGCCTGTGCTCCGCAACGGGAGGGGCCGCAGCAGTGAGAGGCCCGCGAACCTCAAAAAGACAAAACAAAACAAAAATCAGGCAGTCATTAAGTAAAGGTTACTAAATTCCGTCTTGGTGGCCCTCGGGGAATGTAAGAGAGCGTTCTGCTAGACTCTGCAGCAGTCACCCATAACTCCTGCCGGCTCCTAGACCCCTGATGTGCTGCTGTCAGTTTTAAAATCAGCTTTAAACTGATCTGACATTCTAAAAGGAGCCCACAGTGTAGAAGCAAGGAGCTAATATCCTATTTAAGAGTAGGAAGGACATGAATAAATAATTTTCAAAGCCAAATAAAAAGAGAATCTCAACCCCATACCTTTATTCTGACTCACTTTTAGCTGGTTCTCTGTGATCTCAGGGAAGATTCTAGAAATGAGCACAGCCATTGGGCATGTCACCAATTTCACTACCTATCCTGCCAATTTAAAAATGCAAATCCCCATGTGACCCAGATTCTTTGAAGATGGTGAACCATAAAACGAGCTAGAAACTCTAAAACAGTTTTCAGTAAATTCACACTTTGGGTCTTAAAGATGCCAATGATTAAAAAACAAACCAAAAAACCCCTGAAAAGTGACGTGCTGGGGTCTGTGTGCAGAAGGAGTTGCTTACAAGGGTCTATTCACAGCCCCACCTGGGCAAGTATGAACGGAATACAGCTCCACCTCCCACAAAACCTCCAAGAGAACAGAATGAAGTGAGCTGTTTTTATGTAGGTTTATCTAAACAGCACTAGCACATCTGATCAACTCTGTCAACTGGCAGAAGGAAGATCAGTAGTCATATGTAAAAACCAACTGGTTGATCGACCAAAGTTTTCCATATTTCAATTGGTTGTTTAGGATCATATAGACATAACCTGAAAACACGGTGATCTAACAATTATCTTAAACATGTTTACGGAAATATACACACTTTTGGTACCAATCTTATTCTTATTCTATACTTCATTGATGACTTCCTTCGAAGTGAGTGACTGTAAAATTGAACAAACTAGCATAGTTCAGTTTATGAAGTTACAAAATGTAACATTCTAAGGTAGTTCAATTTCTGGCAGATACTACATATAAATAAGAGAACTGAAGTCTTCTGCACCCCTAGGATGTGCATGGACTTTTAGATTCAGAAATATGGATTCGAAGCTAGAAGGCAACTTTTTGGTTATCTACAGATGCTGCCCAAGAAGAAATGTTCATCAGATTTCAAAGGACACAGTTGTACATTGGCAGCTGGCAGCTTTCCAAGTAAAATGTCATTAGCAAGTGAAACTTGATTACCGTCAAAACCAGCCCAGGAAATTCAGGTGTAAGATGCCTGAAAGTCCACCTTGTCCCTAAAAGAAACTGCGACGCTCCCCATCCAGTCTTTTGAAGAACTGCCTGTAACAGTCATAGTTGTGGGGAGAAACAACTCCAATGTTTTAAAGTTTTTTGTGTTTTTGGTTTTTTTTAAGTTGTATTAAATATAAGTCTTAGCACCTTTGGCATTTTTGTCCAAATAGACTTCGACGTATGAAGTGGGGACATAACCCTCTTCGTCTTCACTTCTCCGGATGCGGGTCCACCCGTCACCTTTGTCTTCCTCTATAACGTACAGTGTTTCTCCCTCAACTACTGAAATGGTTCCTTCGTTCTGACCTGGAAAAGCAATATCAGAGTATTTTAGGTCTCTCGTCAAATCCGGGTTGAGAGCACAGCTTTGCAACGACGAAGCAAGTGCAGGGAAAGATGGACGCACTGACCCTTCTGCGCTCCTCCCACACAGAAGCTTCCAGGTCCTCACCTTGCGTCTCTCTAGGACCCTCTCCTAACTCCTCCTGGGAGCCCTCTCGTTCCTCCCTCCCAGAACAGGAGGTATTTTCCGCAGAGGAAATCTTGGGTCTGCTTCTCTACTCTTCCCTGAAGGTACTCCTATGGCATCAATTATATCTCTTTACACAGCACCCCGACTTTTCTTTCTCCTCTTCTGGTTCTCGTCTGAGGCAAGGTTCCACTTCACCTTCTGCCTGAAGCCCGTTTCCACCTTGATGGTACCCGGGCACCTGGAACGCGATAGGGGTGAACCCGGACTCACTGTTTTTCCTCCCACTTTCCCATTTCAGTGGACATCTCCATCATCCCAGGAATGCAACGTCAGGGATCATCTGTGACTTCCTCCCCTCTTTGTATACTGGCTGCAGCATCTCTGCGTCCATTCCTTAATCAAGGCCCCGAACACCATTTGCTAAGATAATTTCAAAAGACTAGCCGCCATCGCCCAAGCAGTGTCCTGAAAGGCAGACTGTTTAGGGGGCTGTTAATAGCGGTACTGTGGGCGCGCGGGGGCAGAGGGATGCTGTGGACGTGAAGTAAAACCAGGAACATTTAACCTGGTACTTCCGTTTCTTATTTTGTCATAATAAATATTTAGTTTATTAAAGGCTCTAAAAGTCCTAGAATAAAGAGAATTCCCTGGTGGTCCAGTGGTTAGGACTCCGAACTTCCACTGCAGGGGGCCCAGGTTCAATCCCTGGTCAGAGAACTAAGATCATGCAAGCTGTGAGGTGTGGCCAAAAAAAAAAAAAAAAAAAAAGTCCTACAGTAAAGAAATTCATTTATCCCAGGGCTTCTGAAAATGATCTGAGCTCTGATTGCTTCTTTCACATCAGCCTTATCAGCATCCTGGAAGATGCCGTTTCAAGGCTCATCAGTTTAGGAAACACTAGGCTAGTCTTTCTAACCAATTTCCCTGTCCTCTAACCGATCCGACACATACAATAAATGCCTCAAGGTACAGCTCTGCTCGTGTCAGCAACCTGCTCAAATACTTTCAGTAGCTTCTCGACGTTTGCCAAATAAAATCCAGATCTTTCTGTTACCCATACCCTCCATTGGCACCGCCTACCCCCTCATCTTACCACCTAAGACATCTGAGCGCCAGCCATACGAACCCCATACCTTCCTCGCTCCGTGCTTGGCAGTGCCCGTGCCTCTGACACACTTCAGCACGGAGAGTTCTCCAAAGCCCCTTAAGGAAGTGATCTCATCCTCGCGTGAATCCCCCGTCACTCTGTACCCCTCGTCTGGTGAATATTGCAGGCGGCCCTCTCTCTACATGTGTCTGCTTTATTTCCTCCAAAGGTGGATGCCAGAACATACCATCTGCCTGCAACCCTTTCAGGGGTCTTTACAAGACAGAAGTTCTGTAAGTATTGAATGAATGGATGAAATAATCATTATTCCATACTATCTGCTTCAGTTAACCTCACTGAAAGTTGTTCGAATGTACAGACCCAGAGGTAAAATATACAGCCATCGACCAGATCATAATCATAAACACAAATACCACGAGCAGAGCAAAAGAGCAACGAGGGAAAGTTCTGGATGACTTCAAAAGAAAGCCTGATCACAGAAAGAGAAGAGTGACTCAGACAGTTCACGAGAAGTGGGGGGAATTAGGTGACACGCAGTGTTACCTTCGAACGTGTAGAGAGCTTTACACGTCCCTATGGCAGGGAGGGATTCCTCATCATCAAACTCATCGTCGAAATCTGTGGCCAGCACCTTGACCTCACTCTCCTGACTCTGCTCCTCCGTGTAACTGCCATCCGGGCTGCTCAAGAAAGCAAAACACACAGCAACTATAGCCACTGACCCCAGCGAGGACTTGAATTCAGCCCCCGCAAGAGCAAAGGGCTTGCAACCCGCCCCCGTCCCCATCCCCCGACTGTTGTAACTAGGACCATCTTCAATCACCCCACAGGCTCGGGCACCATCCACAGGGAATTAGACACCTGCACCGTGGGAAACATCACAGGCCAATCATCACAGATGCTTGGGATCTAACAAGTACCCTGTGCTCGTCTCTGATTCCAGAATTGAGAAAAAAATACAAAGTCAAAAAAAAGCAGGCGCCGTACAGATACTGTACCTCTCCCGATCCTGTGCACAGTTGTTGACGGCTGGGGGGTTCTGCACATCGTACATGCCACTCTGCCGACGGGCCTGTTCGCTGCGTGCTGGGAGTCTGCCTTCAACCTCGGCCAGCCAGGCCTGCAAACAGAAGGCATGAAAGAATGGTCTGAGCTCAGCTGAGGGCCTGACCGTGCAGGCTTCAGGCCCCAAACCTGGGCTGCTCGTTGGTCATTGAAGCAGGCTGGAGAAGGACCCCGTGGGCGCAGAGTCTCCAGTTTGTGTGCCTTGACTGTATAAATGTACTCAAAGGCAAAGTTGGAGAAGTGTACAGGCAAACTTATATTTAGCCACTGCTCATAATGTGGCAGAAGGACACTGGCCTCCGTTATACTCCTGGGCTTTTTAAGCAGCTGTGTGATTTTGGTTAAGTCACTTCTAGTTCCTTCTGGTTCCAGAAATTCTGTGACCGTGAGGTCACACTGGGAAACATGAGGGTTCCTGCCACACTTAAGCCATGACTCAGTTTGAAAGCCACACTTCCCATTTTTGTTAAGGAGTGTAACGTTTTTCTTTTTCTAAATAGTGAAGAAAACTCATACATAGGAAATCAAAGTAGATCAAAGTATCTTCAGCAACATTTGAAATGGTCTAAAAGAGGCAAAAGAATCAAAATGATCAGAAAAGGACATTTCTAGGTTCTAAAATCTCAAATGCTAATACCTTATTGACAGATTCTAGAAAGAATGAAAAACGCCATAATTTGACCTTTTATTGCTAGAAATAATCTGTTCTGGATGGAACGCTCAGTTACTAATTTATTTTTCCAGGCTTTGTAGTCTTTACATTTCGAGGGGAAAAAGAAGCCTTCTGCCCACAGCTTTTTTTTTTTTTTTTGCGGTCCGCGGGCCGCTCACTGTTGCGGCCTCTCTCGTTGCGGAGCACAGGCTCCGGATGCGCAGGCTCAGCGGCCATGGCTCACGGGCCCAGCCACTCCGCGGCAAGTGGGATCCTCCCGGACCGGGGCACGAACCCGTGCCCCCTGCATCGGCAGGCAGACTGCCAACCACTGCGCCACCAGGGAAGCCCTGCCCACACTTTTTGAGTGCCCTACTCCCTCCTTAAAAGATTTATTATTTGTGTTTCTTCCTCATTTCTTAAATGTGTTTCCTATTGTTTTTCACATATATCATCTTTTGATAATGGATCCTTTGAAAGAACAGTAACATATTTCAATGGTTCCCCGCGCCCAGAAGTAAACCCTTGTATTTATGATCAATTGATTGGCGACAAAGGGGCCAAGATAATTCAAGGAGGAAAAGGCCTTTTCAACAAATGGTGCTGGGACAACATAAAAAAGAATGAAGGTGGACCTCTACCTTTAACCATATACAAAAATTAACTCAAAACAAACCGTAGACCTAAATGTAAAAGCTAAAACTATAAAACTTAGAAGAAAACATAAGCATAAATGTTTGTGATCTTGGATTAGGCACTGGTAACTTAGCTATGACACCAAAAGCACAAGTGATAGAAGAAAAAAAAATTGATTCCATCAAAATTAAGACTTTGGGGGACTTCCCTGGCAGTCCAGTGGTTAGGACTCGGTGCTTTAACTGCCGTGGCCCGGGTTCAATCCCTGGTCGGGGAACCAAGATCCTGCAAGCCGTGTGGCATGGCCAAAAAAATAAAAACATAAATAAACTTTTGTGTTTCAAAGGACACCTTGAAGAGAGTAGAAAAACAATCCACAGGGCTTCCCTGGTGGCGCAGTGGTTGAGAGTCCGCCTGCCGATGCAGGGGACACGGGTTCGTGCCCCGGTCCGGGAAGATCCCACATGCCGCGGAGCGGCTGGGCCCGTGACCCAGGGCCACTGAGCCTGCACGTCCGGAGCCTGTGCTCCACAATGGGAGAGGCCACAACAGCGAGAGGTCCGCGTACCGCAAAAAAAAAAAAAAAAAAAAAAAAAAAAACAATCCACAGAATGGGAGAAAATATTTGTAAATCATAGATCTGAAAAGGAATTTGCATCCAGAATATATTTTGAAACCTTTTACACTGATACCAAAGCCAGGCAAAGACATTACAAGAAAATTACAAATATCAATGGCTTTTTAAAAATTGTCTTTTTGATTCACTGAGATGATGGACGACTGTATATTCCCAACTATACCCACTGTCAACAGGAGATGAAGCAGAACAACTTAAGTGAAACACTTAGATGAAAAAAAAAAACAAAAAACAACAAACACTGTATACAAATATAACCTTAAATAGTGTCCCTTTTAAGGGACACCATTAAAATAGGATATGCTGAAAAGCTGAACACCCAGTGGATGACAGTGTCTTTTTCCTTTTATCATAACTTGTGAGACACCTGATTTTTCCAGCTGCATCTCTCGCAGGGAAAGAAACGCTGGCGATTTACAACCATATGCGTCTCGTGACCCCCTACACCCACTTCTATTTCTTTTTTTTCCAACAAAGCTTTTCCACAACAGCTTCTTCCTACCTCAAATTTCTGGGCCTCCAGTCTCAGTTTTTCTATATTTTGGCTGACTTCTGCTAATTTGTGATCCAAACTGGCGGGGTCTCCCATTTGCGGATTCTTTAGGTAGACATCTTTCATTTTTGTGATGGCATCTCTGAAAAGAAGGGCAGAACGTGGTAAAGGTTAATGCTGTCATCAGCCAGTCATATTCTCCCACCACCATGAAAACTACGGGAATGAGGGCGTTGCGAGACTGCACCGCGGTGTGGACTGGAGGGGGATACTGGGTCAGCTCCCTTCTAAAACGTCTCTATAAGGATTCTGCTACCAAGGTCTGTATGATCCAGAGACCCATATTTAAATTCCAGTTGCCTTTTCGGAACGAAATCTCCCTCTTGTCTTCAGCGAGTGAGAAATGTAAATGAATCCTGTACATCACTTTGCCCTACGTAACAAGAGACAAAACCCCAATATTTCCATGTACATGTTTTGCAAGCAAGCCATGGGTCTCGTGGGCTGCATTGTTTACCTCATGAGGAAGCACAGGTCATTGCTTTGGGAATTCTAAAGATTAAGTTAAACAGTTCGATTTCAACGATTTCAGCTATTAAGAAACGGAACCCACAGTCGGGATCCGTGACAGGTGGGCAACAGAGCCTTAAAGCTACACACTGCAAGATCCCACACCCCTCCTGCAATCCTGTCTGGAAGGCCGCCCATAGCAGCCCTCTGAAGGTTGTTTCTAGGACCAGAGAGCTCTGCTAACTGGAACCCTGGCTTCAAGGCACTTCAGGAGCATTCGAGTTAAATTTAGAGCAAATGGCCCCTGCCGAGGGTGAGGGGCTAACTTTAATGAGCTTCAGCAAAAGAAACTCTACACCAATCACGCAGCATAAGACCAACAACACAAACTGTATTTTGAGTCATGGGAAATAGTTTAATCAAAAATACAGAAATAAGTGAAAGAGAATTTCCACAAGTCCTCACCACCCCTCCACCTGCCCCCTTGCCTCTGAGCCCGTATTGCCCCTTGGTGGGCACAATGAACCCTCTGTTCTTCCCTAAGACCACGTCTCCACGGGAGCCCTCCACCCACTTGCCCTCCCAGCCCACTTACCTCGCTCTACTTTCTTTTATTTCCACTGCATGTATCTCTTCCCAACATTATATGACTTGTTATTATGCTTATTGTTTATTGTCTGTCTGTCCCACCTAGAACAGCAGCTCTCCGAGGAGCTCTCTGGGCTCAAGCCCTTTATGACCATGATAAACCCCCAGTGACCGGACCACGCCTGGTGCACTATAGATCTCACTAAGTATTTGTTACATGAATAAATGTCCCTACAACAAACAAACTGCAAGGTCATCCACATGTACACAAGTCTTCTCTCGACTTCATGGCCTATACCTCCAGTACCATATTTCTCAGCAAAACTTCTCAAAAGAGTTGTTTAAAATCACTTATCTGCCATTCCTCTTGTCCAGGTCTCTCCTAATCAATCTCTGCAGGTTTTTCAATTTTGTTAATCATTTCAAGGAACCAGCTTTTGGCTCTGTTCATCCTCTCTGTTGAATGTGTGATTCTTTCTATTTCATTAATTGATACTGTTTCCTTTATCGTTCGGTCCCTTGCTTCTATTTTCTTTGGTTCAATTTGCTACTCTTTTTCTAACTTCTTGAGAGGGATGCTTAGCTCATTGATTTGCAGCCTTCTTTGTTTCTAATATGTATTGGAAGCTTTAAATTTCCTTTTATAAGCATGGCTTTAGTGACATCCCCAAAACGGAGATGGAGAATGTACGTTAAGGTTAAGGCTCAGTTCTGTCTCATATATTTTCTAGTATCTATGATGACTTCTTCCTTAATCTATGTGTTACTTAGAGGCACATTTCTTTCTTTCTTTTTTTTTAAGCAGTAAAAACAGATTTTATTTAAAAAAAAAACAATTGCAATTGGGGAAAAGACACCTCAGTTTAGAGCTGGGCTCAATTCCTAATACTGTAAAGACAGCTGGGGATTTTTAGCCAATAAGCAGAATGAGGGACTCAGTGGATGGAAAATCAAAGGTGAATGGAATGATTCCTGCTAAACCAACTTAACAGGATTCTTCCTGACTTCATGCCAGAGTGATAACAAGGGTGGGGAGCCTTTCTAACTTGACTGAGCAGGCTTCTTGCTGTAACTGAGCCCTGCGGAGAGCCACATTTAATTTAATTTAATTTTTTAAAGGGGTATAGTTGTTTTACAATGTTGTGTTAGTTGAGAGCCACACTTGTTTTTTTTTTCTTTTTTTTTTGCGGTACATGGGCCTCTCACTGTTGTGGCCTCTCCGGTTGCGGAGTGGACGCGCAGGCTCAGCGGCCATGGCTCGTGGGCCCAGCCGCTCCATGGCATGTGGGATCTTCCCGGACCGGGGCACGAACCCGTGTCCCCTGCATCAGCAGGCGGACTCTCAACCACTGCGCCACCAGGGAAGCCCCACATTTCTTAATTTCTAAATTTTTGTTATTGATATCCAGCTTAATTGCAGCCTTCAGAGGACGTACTTTGAATGATGTCTACCCTTTGATGTTTGTTGAGATTCATTTTATAAAACCAGGATATGCCCAATTTTTGGAAATGTTCTATGTGTGCTTGAAAAGAATGTGTAGCATGCAGTTACTGGATATCTGTGTATTAGGTCAGTTTTGTTAATTATATTGTTCAAATCCTCTATCCTGACTCTCTGCTAATCTATTCTATCAATTACCGAGAAAAGTGCATTAAAAATCTCCCACTATAGTAATGTATTTGTATTTCTTGTAATTATGTCAGAAGGTTAATAGCATAACCTTTTCTATATTTTGAGGTGATGCTATTATGGTTCTACAGATTTGAAATTGTATCTCTTCTTGGTGAATTGAGCCATTTGTTATTTGAATCATTTATTTTATGAAGTTGATCCTTTTGAGCTGAATAGTTTGGGGTGTTTTTTGGCCTGAAAGGTAGTCTTCTCACACCAGTTTTCCTTCTGGTTGGTACCTGCATGGTCTGTCTTTTTCCATTCTTTTTTTAAATAATTAATTAATTAATTAATTTTTGGCTGCATTGGGTCTTCGTTGCTGCGCGCAGGCTTCTCATTGCGGTGGCTTCTCTTGTTGCGGAGCACGGACTATAGGCATGCGGGCTTCAGTAGTTGTGGCACGTGGGCTCAGTAGTTGCGGCTCACGGGCTTAGTTGTTCTGCAGCATGTGGGACCTTCCCAGACCAGAGCTCGAACCCTTGACCCCTGCATTGGCAGGCGGATTCTTAACCACTGCGCCACCAGGGAAGCCCCATCTTTTTCCAGTCTTTATTTTCAACCTTTCTGCACTTTATGAGTTGGACGTGTCTTTTGTAACTAGCATACATGTGGGTTTTAGTTTTTTGTCCAGTCTGAAAATCTCTCAGTTCGAACATGTAGCCTGTTCACATTTAACATACTGATTCATTTTATTTTACAAACACAATATGCCAGGCCTGTCCTCAGCACTTGACATACCCTGACACACTTAATCCTCATGGACAGGCATATTAACTCCCTTTTCAAGGTGAGGAAACCGAGGTGCTAAGAGGTTAAGAATCTTGTCCAAAGTTTGCAAACAAAACAGGTGGAACCAGATTGGAATCCGGGGTGTCTAGTGTGCTTGTATTTTAAATCTTCCACTCTATTTTGTGCTTTTGATTTGCCCTGCCTATTCTATATATTAATATTTTTTCTCTCCTTTCTTGCCTTTTTGGATTATTTAAAAAAAACAAAACTGAAAACAAACAAAAATCCAGCCTTTTCCAGATCATGCCACCTCTGCTCAAAACCTTTTATTTTCTGTTCCTCCTGCACAAAATGTAAGTTGCATGAGAACAGATGTTTCTGATGTTTTGTTCATCGCTTGATCCTCATTGCTATACCTAGAATATTTCCTTGTACACAGTAAATGCTCGATAAACAGAGGTGAAGTGAATGGTTGAATGTGATTTGCCTTATTACCAGCAAGAGCTGCTCTGGGGTTTCAAACGTTAACCAAGTTCCATGGCCACAACCCAAGCGACAGAGAAACTTTTCTGCATGATATCAAACAATTAGAGTCTGTCAACAACCTATAAAATGTCATTTCAGATATTTGAGTCATAACTTGTTACTCCTGTGCAAAATATAAGCGCTCATTTAGTAAACAGCAGGAGGTTTATAATACATTTATAAATAAACCCTTTTATATTTGGTCCCAGATGTTATAAAACGTACAAAGACTTTTATTTATAAAAAGTACAAAAATTTTTATTTCATCAAGTATATTTTTAATATAAAACTAGAACAAAGTTCATCATATGTGTTCCTCTTTTTAACATACTGCAACAACGTTTATAAAACGATCTATTTTTCCGGAGTTGCTCTCCCAGAGATTAAAAAACAATCAGAACCCACTTTTCTGGGCTTCCCTGGTGGCGCAGTGGTTGAGGGTTCGCCTGCCGATGCAGGGGACACGGGCTCGTGCCCTGGTCCGGGAGGATCCCACGTGCCGCGGAGCAGCTGGGTCCGTGAGCCATGGCCGCTGAGCCTGCGTGTCCGGGGCCTGTGCTCCGCAATGGGAGAGGCCGCAGCAGTGAGAGGCCCGCGTACCGCCAAGAAAAAAAAACAAAAAAACCCCACTTTTCTTTTGTATGTACTTAAACTGCCTTACCAAGTTGGTTTATTTTTTGCACAACCAAGTTTTAACCCCAGCTTCAATATAACAATTTACGTAGGACTACAATTTGGCCTACTTATAGAGCACAAAATCTCAAGTTATCTTTTAAGTTCAAATCGCCATTAATGATGATTCACTTAATTCCCTCAGTGAGAATATAGAAGATGAGAGAATAAAAAGTGGCTCTTCTTTTCCTTTTCCTTTTTTTTAACTGGAGTACAGTTGATTTACAACGTTGTGTTAGTTTCAGGTGTACAGCAAAGTGATTCAGGTATACATATCTTTTCTTTCCAGATTCTTTTCCCTTACAGGTTATTATAAAATATTGAGGATAGTTCCCTAAAGTGGCTTTTCAATCAGGATTATTAGCAAGTATCCCCTAAATGATGTGAGGGTATTATTCGTTATAAATGTGGGAAGGAAGTGCAAATGGGAAGAGATATTGAATCTTTTCCTAATTTTTTCTTTTCTTTTTCTGCATATGTACCAACCTACCATCCCTAGGATCAAACTTATAGAACAGCTCAGAAACCAGGGGACTCTCACAGTGGGAGCCTGGGCAGATAGGCAGATACTTGTCAAGAACAAGCAAATATTTACACCTCTAATGGCTGGTGATCTGTATAAGACATACTGTGACTTGTTTTCTAGATACCATCAACACACTCTATAAAAAGACAAGAAGACATGAGAATCTATAGGAAGGCTGATTTTTACTTACCCTCAAATAGAAAGACAAGTACATTTTGTATCCAAAGCTCGGACGTGGGGAAAGGGAGAGGGTGGGGGTCATGCCACTTTGCTCTTCCTCATTTGTACAAAAACTTCACCTCTACACTCATGATAGAGAGAAAACAGGAGTTCCCTGGTGGCCTAGTGGTTAGGATTCTGGGCTTTCACTGCCACAGCCCGGGTTCAATCCCTGGTCAGGGAACTAAGATCCTACAAGCCACATGGTACAGCCAAACTAAACAAAACAAAAACAAACAAAAACCACCAGAAAATCTTTTTGAAGCCAGTTGGAGTCTGAGATGTCTTGTCATTGTCTGAAGATTCTTCAATCACTACGCCAAGCGACACAGATGTTTCTCTTTCTTCATATGATGAAGATCAAGAATCTAAACTTATCCAGAAAGCTAGAGAGGCACCATTTGTCCCCATTGGAATCGGAGGTTTTTGCAGCAATCGTTGCATATGGATTATATAGATTGAAGAGCAGGGGAAATACTAAAATGTCTGTTTATTTGATCCACATGCACGTGGCAGCCCAAGGCTTTTTGTTATGGGAGCGATGGCTCTTGGTGTGGGCTATTCCACGTACCGAGAATTCTGGGCAAAACCTAAACCTTGGAACAGGAGATGCTGTCTTGGTCTTGCTGGCGGTGCTTGCTTTAGTTAGACATCTCATATTGAGATTGTATGTTTATGTTGAAAATAAACTGGGTCAGACAATAAGATGGTAATTTGAACCCTGGCGTCCTTTCTTGCAGGCTTGGTTTGCCTGGTGACCAAGTTACCGTGACTAGTTCACTAGCTGGGTCATTCAGGGGCGTCAAATTAGCACAGAAGAAACATGTCACTTTTAAATGCACTTGGTAGTGGTACAATGTCCACCTTATTTTTTTTTTAAGATTTATTTATCATTAATTAATTTATTTTATTTATTTTTGACTGTGTCAGGTCTTAGCTGTGGTATGGGGGATCTTCGTTGTGATGTGCAGGCTTCTCTCTAGTCGTGGTGCGTGGGTCTTCTCTTCTCTAGTTGTGGAGTGCCGGCTTTGTCTTCGCTAGTTGTGGCGCACAGTCTCCAGGGTGCATGGGCTCTGTAGTTTGTGGCATGCAGGCTCTCTCGCTGAGGCGCGCAAGCTCAGTAGTTGTGGCGCGTAGGCTTAGTTGCCCCGCGGCATGTGGGATCTTATTTCCCCAACCAGGGATCGAACCCGCAGTCCCCTGCATTGTAAGGCGGATTCTTTAGCACTGGACCACCAGGAAAGTCCCCAACGTCCACCTTCTTAAACACTTCTGATGAAATTATTTCTAAAGAGGACAACACGCCAATCAATCCTGAAATGCTCCCAGTCAGTTGCCGCAGAATATCGTATGCTTTAGGGCTGGCTGGCTTTTGAGGAACGCTTTCAGGAACGGAAGACAACATTATAAACCTCCTAGCAATTATGTGTATGTTTTTAAACCAAACCTAAAAAGCTGATAACAGAGCTGCTTAGAAGTAGTATTTATTTCAGAATCGTAGTTGTAAATATGAAAATAACTTAAGGGCCTTCCCTGGCGGCACAGTGGTTAAGAATCCGCCTGCCAATGCAGGGGACACGGGTTCGATCCCCGGTCTGGGAGGATCCCACATGCCGCGGAGCAACTAAGCCCGTGAGCCACAACTACTGAAGCCCGCGTGCCTGGAGCCCGTGCTCCGCAACAAAGAGAAGCCACCGCAATGAGAAGCCCGCGCACAGCAACAAAGAGTGGCCCCTGCTCACCACAACTAGAGAAAACCCACACGCAGCAATGAAGACCCAACGCAGCCATAAAGAAATTAATTAATTAAAAAAAAGAAAATAACTGTAGATCCCCGTTTAGCACTTTTGTAATTGCAGGGCTATATTCTGCTGCTGTTATATCAGAATTCTTTTGGCGGGGGGGAGTAAAATTGCTTTACAGTGTTGTGTTAGTTTCTACTGTACAATGAAAGGAATCAGCTATATGTGTACATATATCCCCTCCCTTGTGGACCTCCCCCCTGCCCCTGCATCTAGGTCATCACAGCACCAAGCTGAGCTCCCTGTGCTATACAGGGAGGTTCCCACTAGCTATCTATTTTACACATGGTAGTGTATTTATGTCAAACCTAATCTCCCAATTCGCCCCATCCTCCCCTTCCCCGCCGTGTCCACGTCTGTTCTCTACATCTACGTCTCTATTCCTGCCCTACAAATAGGTTCATCTGTACCATTTTTCTAGATTCCACACATATGCGTTAATATACGATATTTGTTTTTCTCTTTCTGGCTTACTTCACTCTGTATGACAGTCTCTAGATCCATCCACATCTCTACAAACGAGATGTTGTTCCTTCTGTTCCAATGCTGTTCCAATTTTGTTCCTTTTTATGGCTAATATACATTTTGAAATAGAAATGTTTTTTAAGTGCTAATGCAAAGGTAAATGAAAAACACTTTTTTTAATGTGTGCAGTATGTTTATTTTCTCTATACGAATCATAAATATTAAACTAAATAGATCACCTATAATGGAAGTGATTTATGAGCAAACTGGTTTGGTCAGACATTATAGAAACTTCTGTATGCTACAGAATGCTTTGCTGTACTTGTGAAATTTTCTTGTCTAACCTGAATTTACATTCCATGGTGATAACATGGTAAATGTAGCATTATTAAAGTAAGTGAACACATACAAAAATAAGATAATCATATGTATTTTGTTGTCCAAACTCAGAATAATACCTATTTGTTAAAGAATCCTCCCTGTCTTTAATAAAGCAATCCAGTAGACTACAACCAAACACACGGCTAAAATAATCACTTGGATTAAAATCTAATTTAGGGCCTCCCATCTTTCCAAACTGAACTCAAATGTCTTAATAAGTCATATTGATCCACTCTACCTTTGATCCATCTCCTTTTGAATTTCTCTATTTAATTCATCGACTTTCTGTTGTAGCTTTTTCCTTCTCTGTTCAGGTGGGAGGTTGCTGAAATCTTCTGGAGTCGCACCCTGCAGATGCAAAGAGAAATAAGCCAGAAAACCTCACGGTACTCCTCGACCAAAAGACACCGAGGGAAGCCTGCAGGAAAGATTCCGCAGACAACAGGGCAATGCAGACGTCTGCATGTGTTTTCATGAACTAAATTAAGCTCTTTCCCACGACACCCAGCTGAGATGCAAAAATCAGTGCATGCAAACTGCAAAAGGCCCGCAAACCATTTCATGCCGGCCCAGACACCTCTGACAAGGCAGGGAGCACCGAGACAGGAAGATATACTTTTGACTCCAGAGAGGATCAATGAAAAACAAATTTGGAGATGGATTCTGCACTTTAGTGTCAGTGTGGGTGGCAACACTGAAGCTTTGGGTTTGTATTTCTTCACATAAAACAGTGATAAGTGCCCCTGCCAACTGTTTCATTTCGATGGCACTGCTTGCCCCCACCCCACCCAGTCTGAGTATCCCTTCCCGTCTCTTCACACAGGCTGAGGCCAAAAGTTTCCATCCCCGTGAACTGACAGATGGGAGGTCTAGTTCCTCAGAGAATGTGGGTAAAAGGGACATTAAAAAAAAGATTGTCCCCCCCCCCCACCTCCCTCCCATGCACTCTTCTTGCCTCTGCTGCCTCTAAAAATCTGGTCGGTTCTTTTTCACCATCTTTAGGATCATCTCAGAGAATTCATAGAGAACACCGCCCCCAGCCCCAAATTCAAACCCAACTTCCCACAGTGTATGAAATCAGCCTCAGCTGTTTCTAATTCATCAGAAGAAGTGTACTTTGATATCTTGATTCCCTTTCCAAAAAATTGCTCTCTCTCCTCTGTGCATGTGATTTAAGTAGAAAATATCAACCGTGAGTTTCTAGACTCCTACCTACGTTTACACGTCAGAAGCTGTAGCTAAGTTGTGGCCATCAAGTGCTTTTCCTTAAATGAGGCTACTTTCATAAAGAAAGAGAAATTTATCAATAGCCAGGGATAAGCCAGGGAATTTAGAAAAGAGATTTTGCTTTAGAACGAATTAAACAAAGGCAAGACAGGCTTGCCTGGGAGTGGGTGGAAAAGAAGGGACCCGGATAATGTAATTGCAAAATTAGCTTGAGTTTGCCAAGCAGCTTACACGGGGGCTTGTGACTGAAGTTCCTAGGCTGCTTATGGGAAAATGCCAGGCTGCTGGGCTGGAAGTTTGTGATTCAGCAAATAGTTCACCACTAAGACCACCAAAGACCTTTCAGCTAATAGTCTCAAAGACTTGTGTGCGTGTGTGTGTGTGTGTGTGTGTGTGTGTGTGTTTGAGTGAAAAGCAAAATAGAAGTGATTATTCCCTAATGCCAAACCAAGGAAGTTCAACTTGCTTCTAAAACTAAGATGAAGCCAACTAATCTTCAATATAAAAATAAAGCAGACTTGTTTTTCCTTTTCCATATACTATTGTGCTATAACATTTGAAACCTTAATTAAGTGCTTTTCAATTTTCTCAACTCAATCACTGAGCCTGAAAGCTCAGTACTTTGTTCTCATGCTGAATTGACTTAAAAGAGATCACCATGTTTTCTAGAACAGAGATTTTGTTTTTGTTTTCATTTTTGTTTTAATGCTAGAATGCGACAAAACAGCGTGAGATACACTGCTGCAGAGGTCAGCAAACCTAGTAAGCAGTCAGTGTTAATTCATACATATTTATTGAGCCTCGCTATGTGCTATGAGACCCAAAAGAACTTTCTCAGTGATGGAAATGTTCTCACATCTGCACCGTCCAATATAGTAGCCACATATGGCTGTTGAGCCCTTGAAGTGTGCACGGTACAACTGTGGAACTGAATTTTAAAATTTTAGTTACTTTTCATTTAAATTAAGTTAAATTTAATTAAGTTACCTGTGGTGAGTGGATACCACATTGTACCACATAGGTCTAGACTGTGAACAGGTGTAAGGTTTGCACTGGATAAACAGGTGCAAAGAAATCTGTAGTAAAAAACACTAACTTATGACTTATCAATAGATAGCCCAAACAACAACAACAACAACAACAAACGCAACCCTGATTATCTACAAAAACGAAAGCAATTAAATAATAAATGAATCCCCTTCACTTGATCAGGAGTTAGTCTAGCTGACCAGTTAGGTCCCTTTCAATAGATATTCTATATTTCTGTGTTGTTATTTAAAAACTAATCCCAGTAACGATGCCTCAAACAAACTTCATGTTCCCATTGGAGATTCAGGTCAACAGCTTCTTCTAGATCCAAAGAAACTCGAGGTTTCTGGAAAGTGCCTTCAAAGGTTCATTTTGTCCTATTCACCTTTTGAAGCTTGAATTCTTTCGAACAATACTCTCACCTATGATTCATTTTGCCACAAAGGAATTTTTATTTCTACCTTCGAGGCAGAATAGATTTTCTGAACTCTTTGGAGGGGCCCCTAGGATACTGGCAGTACCAGGGTTTGGAAAAGGGGCCAAAATACGTATATTTTCAATGGCTGTGGCTCTAAGAGGATCTTGTTTTACCTGCCACTGGAATCAAACACTTGCTCCTGGGCAATGACACGAGCTGCTTCTTGAGTTTTATTATTTTTACACCCAAGCCATCTGTGTGTAACTTCTTTATTAGCTTCAAAGTAAGGGCATCAAGCAACAGTTCAATACAAGGTTGGTAAAATGATTTATCTCAAACAGAAAGACTGCCTGATAATGTTATCTTTAGCTGCTAGCACGTGAGCAAAAGAACAAATAAAGGGCAAAAAAGAAACCCTGGCATCTGAGAGACTCCCAGTTAATGGATCCAATTTCTCCCAAATTCATACTGCTGCTAATGACTGATGTTCATTTAAGATCTTTCCTTCTTGCAGAACTCTTCTCGGGATTTTATTTTGCCGTCTAAGAAATGTTTAATTTAATAAAATATTCCTCTTCCTTAGGGCTGGAACGGTCGCCAAATACTGAGTCAGGTCGAAAAATTATGTATATATATGTTAATGTATATACTGAAACACGTAAAAAAGTATGTATGAGGATAACCATAAAATACTGTCATACTTTCTCAACAGCAGCGCATAAAATGCTGGTCTTATCCCTGGTTGAAGTGTCACAGTTCATCACTGTCCGTAATTTTAGGATATTCTCAGCTGTGGTGCTGGAGACTATTACATAACTTACACATATTTGAAGAACAGTAATGGGTTATGTGGTTAAGAGTTTCTTTTAATAGATTTAATGATTAGTTTGACTATTTACTAGGGCTATGGAATTAAAAGTAGAAACAACACCGAACACTAAAGAAACCATTTTAGAAAGGCTTAGGAGGCTCTTTTCATTGTCCATAAAATCGTCTTTGATTTCTTACATCAGCTGTGCACAAGGCACCAATGTATTTATGTAGCAACTAAAAGATTTCATGACCTCCAATTCTCGAAGGTGCCTTAGACCTGAGTTGGAGCCCGGCATCATTCCTGCATGTCACCCTCAGGTCCCCAGCATTTTTCATCTGCTTCTGTGGCTCCCGGGGAGGAGCAATTTTCAACGATCATATTTGCTTTTATTCCAAATGATCCAATACATAAACTCCCTCATATCTAATATTCATGTTTATGTGCATATTTAAATAAAGTTTATCAACATCTGTCATCCTCATAAGACTCCAGTGGTAAAGAAAACCAAATCATGAGTTAAGCGTTAATTTTCTTAGCAACTTGAAAAGATTACAATCACCTCTGTTAGACTCTGGACCTTTGTATTCCAGAGGTCTAATAAAGAAACACCAACAAAAGCACACACAAGAGAGACACAAATCAACAGTTAACTCTGAAGATTTGTTGCACAATGGCACAGCACCCACAAAACATACACCAAAAAACCTGATTAGATTCAGGACATGCATGGAGGAATTGTGCTTACCAGCTTGAGGGAAAGCTTCGTGTAAAAATTGAAGGGGTAACAGGGAAAAAAAAGAGAGCGAGAGAGAGAGAGAGAGAAAAAAACAACAACACATAAGAAGAGGAACTTGGTCCATTACACTGAATTAACATAACACATCAATTCACCTGGCGCTTTGTGAAAATGATTTGTAGCGGTTCTGTGCCAAAGTTCCCAAGAGGGGCTGATCGACCAAAACCTTTCTTTAGCTGCCATGTTGCCAGAGCAACGAATAAAGATAGAAAAGGAGAGTTTCCGTTTACTGTTCCGGATTGGTCACATCAGCCTGAGTATAAACCAATATAAGTTTGCGGTCGGTGAAATAGCATGATTATAAAAGATGGAAATAATCACATAGCCTTTTGTTCACCAAATTTCCCATGGAAAGTTTCACACAGACTAAAAGCGTTGGGAAAGCAATTAGTTCCACAACATCCCAGCAATATTTTTATCTTAAGGAGATCTAATAAATACGAACAGTGGCATTTCCTAAAGGCATTAAGGTAAAGTTTCAAACTGGTAAATGGGAACAAAGGACTGGAAGATGCTCTAAGAACCAACCTCCAGGGAGCCTTTCAGCGCCTGGCTGGAGGTGGAAGCATGATGCTCTCTCCCACCTGTGGACTGCATGCCCCTCTTGCTCTGCAGAAGGTGTCTTCTGGGGCTTTCTATCGAACTCAGAGCCCTACCCACAGAGGTTCTATAGCATCTGGGGAGTTAACAGAAGCTGCTGCTCTTACAAGTTACCTTTAGGAAATACATAGCCAACTGTCTCAACTACTGAGGTGTACTTACTCCTTGCTATGGATTTCCTGTCAATTACCAGGACACAGCAGCTGCAATTCTGCTAGGCCCGGAGACTGGCAAAACTATACTAATTACTGGATCCAAAACCAGATTAAAAGGCATCTCAAAATTAGGAAAAGAAACATTGGTTCTTCAGAAACAGGTGAGACATGCTTTTTGGTTATAAAGCAGTATTTTGAGAGCTCAGTGCACACTTACTTAGCTGTTATCAACCCTAAAGTTTAGGCAATTGGTAGTAGGATCCAAAAATATGTCAGAGACAAAGTACCAAAGAAAGTGTCCTTTGACTTGAAATTGGGAGGGGAGAGGGTGTTAAAAATTCCTTAACTAGATTTAAAAAATCTTATTCTTCAGATTAACTCAAAGTTGACACTTCTTTGTGAACAAGCGTTAAGCTTTTAAAGAAATTGTCCCTATGGGGAGAAAGACTTTTAGGGAAA